TGGTAGACAGAGAGGAACCTAGTAAAGCCTTTGGATCAAAGTCCTCTCTGTGTCCCACGGTCGTTTTTAACTTTTTACTTTGTATTGGAGTATAGCTGATTAACATTGTCATGATAGTTTTAGATGGACAGCAAAAAGACTCAGCCATATATATACATGTATCCAGTCTCCCCCAAACCTCTCTCCCATCCAGGCTGCCACATAACACTGAGCAGTTCTTATTGCTATACAATAGGTTCTTGTGGCTCTACATTTTGAATCTAGCAGTGTGAATACACGTCCATCTCAAACTCTCTAACTATCCCTTCTCCCCTTCCTTGCCCCTGGCAACCATAAGTTTGTTGTCTGTGAATCTGTTTGCTTCTGTTTTGTAAATAAGTTCATCTGTTCATGTCCTTTTAGATTCTGCATATAAGGGATGTTTCTGCTTCTCTGACTCACTCAGTATGACACTCTCTAGGTCTATCCATGTTGCTGCAAATGGTATTATTTCATTCTTTTTGATGGCTGCATGATATTCTACTGTATTATGTACCACATCCTCTTTATCCATTCCTTTGTTGATGGGTGTGTTTCACTGTCTTTGGATGGCCCAGCAAACATTTGTTCACCAAATATTAACGCTGCTAGCTTTCTATGAATTTAGAACCCTGAATTACCTACTTCCCTTTGAAGCCTCAGACCCTCCACTTCCTTCTCCATAGTCTAGAATATATATAAATCTCAACATATCTTGCTATCTTTGAAATTCTTCATACTTAAGTGAATTCCCCATCCACAGGTTATAAATTTGGTTTTCTACTGTTAATCTATCTTCTGTTATTTTAACTGCCAGCCAAAAGAACTAAAGGGGAAATTTCTCCTCCCCTTTCCCCCTCCCACAATGGGCTTCATATTTAGTCCAGTGTGTTGGAAGGGGGATGCTAAAGATTACTCTTGTGGAATTTTCTTATGCCTGCTCAATGAAAGAGTGTCAAAAATAAAAACAACAGAGGCTTCCCTGGTGATCCAGATGTTAAGAATCTGCTTTTCAATGCAGGGGATGTAGGTTCAATTCCTGGACTGAGAACTAATATCCCACATGCTGTGGACAGCTAAGCCTGCACTCTACAACTAGAGAGAAGCCCGCATGCTGCAACTAAGACCCAATGCAGCCAAAAATAAATAAATAAATATGTAAATATTTAAATAAATAAAAATTTTAAAAAATAACAACCACACACACATACACACATACCTCTGTGCTTCTTAGGAGTGTAAATAATCTCTGAGGCACCCAAAGGAAGCACTGTCTCTTGAAGGAAAGAGGAGCAGACAGCTCTCTACTTGTTCTTACCTGCCTTGGAATATAGCCTTATTGTCCAAGAGTAGGGTGTAATCAGACCCTTTGTCAGGGTTAAATATGGACAAACCCCCTCCACAAGCAAGAACAGAAGTGGTTCCAGATTCAGGATGAATGGACATGGGTACCTAGACCAGCTTGAACCCAGAACTCCCAGGATAAGTGGCCTGGACTGTGTGGTGGGAATTTGAGCACAGCAGGAGGTATCCTGGGACCCCCCCCCCCCGCCACCCCACCAAGTGACAGAAATCCTGGGGGGAACTCACCATGAAGGTAATGAGATGATCTTCCCTGAAAGATCTCTTGAGGGCATTATGCTAAGTGAAATAAGTCAGACAGAGAGAAACAAATACTGTACGATCTCACACGTGGAATAGTAAAAATAAACAAAACAAAACTGAACTCATAGAAGCAGAGAAAAGATTGGTTTGGTTGTTTCCAGATGAGATGGGGGTAGGATGAATGAAGGGGGTCAAATGTACAAACTTCCAGCTATAAAATAAAATCAGGGGATGTACTGTATGGCATGGTGACTATCGTTAACAATACTGTATTGTATATCACAAAGTTGCTAGGAGAAGAGATCTTAAAAGATCTCATAAGAAAAAAATTCTGTTAACTTCTTGAGTTAACAGGTGTTAACTAAACTTGTGCTGATCATTTTACAATGATCATATATTAAAACATTACGTTGTACACTTGAAACTAATAACAATGCTATATGTCAATTATATCTCAATAAAACTAGGGAACAAAGATCCCTGAGGACCTGTGAATGGATGGATCAATGATGCTGCTAGGATATCTCAGACCTAATTCTCAGCAGCAGCACGTCCTGGCCTGAGAGCCCATCGACAACAATACAAGCGTACAGCCCAGACCCCGGTCGCCTGGGGATGAATGTCAGCAGGCTCTCCATAGCCCCTTCAGGGTTTCTGGTGCTATCACAGCATTCATCTGATACCTATTTCTAAACTCTTCAGGTGATTATGGAAAAAAATAATGGTTAACTGGGAGTTTGTGAAATCTCTTAATGGTTTACTCAAGATCCTACAATGAATAACAGGGAGAGATTGAAACCCCAAAAAAGTGACTCAGTAAAGATAAGTGGTACATTATGTGGTCAAAAACAAAGAAACAGGCAGGAGAGGAGAGATCCATAGGCTCACTGGCCCACTGCCATCAAGAACAGTTCTCTACAATGTTCTGAAGGTCTCTGGTTCTGACGGGAGCCACAGGAAGGTCTGCCAAGTCACGCTAAGTCTGCAGAAAACCTCAGTGAGTTTTCTGGACAGAGGAATGTGACACAGAAGAACTAGGGCCATGTGACTAGACCTCATTATCTCAGTGCCTTTGATAACATACTGGAGAGCAGAGTGGGGTTTTGAATCGACTGATATCTTCCATAAATGGACTCTAAATGCAGGCTTACAATGCTTCCAAAAACTCCCCAGAGAAATTCCTATTATGTACATGGAGGGAGAATGAAGCCAGCCCCATCTGGCTGGGTAGAGAACATTCTCTGCTGAGTGAAACTTCATGGCTCTTGTGTTCAGTGCCAACAGCATGTTCATACTAGACCACGGCCCTGCACACAGACGGGCAGGTGAATCGAAAAAATGAGTAAGATGGTGCAGGCAGTGCGGGGCAATTCTCTGCTCTCTAAAACATCAAAACCACAAGACAAGATATCAATAAGGGTAACATTTCTATAAAGTCCCTAATGAGTTATGAGCCAGTATTATGACGAATGTTACTCAGAATTGCTATAGCAAAATAGAGCGACACTATCTTTTTGCATTAGCCTCCTATCACTACACCAGCTAAAATCAAGAACAGGTTGAGAAGCAACACTAGCGACTTTTGCTCTGTGGAACTGACACTCTCAGGGAAACCTCAGAACTTTAAAGTAAGTGTACAATGCGTTTGTGTGTTCAGTTGTTCAGTCACGTCTGACTCTTTGTGATCCCATGGACTGTAGCCCACCAGGCTCCTCAATCCATGGGATTCTCCAGGCAAGAATATTGGAGTGGGTAGCCATTTCCTTCTCCAAAGTATACAATGCAGTTAGCTTTATTATGAAATAAAGGCACATAAGAATGAGGTGACTCGACTCAAATGTCACCTGCCCAGAGAGGCTTCCTCTGACCAGCCTTCTCCATTCTTCCCAGTGCAACAACTTCCAGTTACTCTGTAACATATATCTTTGACAACCATCAAGTTGTCTTCTGAATTGGTGCATGTGTTTGTCCCTCCTTCCTGTTTGAATGTAGACCCCAGAGAGAGGGAATTTGCATGGTTCATTGTTCTGTTCTTAATACCTTTAGAGAGGCTGGCACAGAGTAAGCTCTCAATAACATTTTACTGGTTACCTTTCCAACTGCCAAATGACAAAGAGCTCAATTATCTGTAACAGAAGGCCTTGTGGAGTCCAGAAAAACCAGTATTCACATCAACTTTTCAAAAATATCACATACCAGAATGAGCAGTCTTTTTTATTACAGACATAACAATTAAATCGATACATAGAGGCAACATGGTCTGAAGCAATGCCACGCCAAGTGTGGTCTGTGGACCAACAGCATCAGCATCTCTTGGCAATTTGTTAGAAAAGCAAAATCAGGGCCCCACCACAGACCCAGTGAATATCTGTGGGTGGAACCAAAAAAAATTCTGTTCAGCAAGTTTTCCAGGTGATTCTTATGTACCCTAAATTTTTGAGTAACTAATTCGGAAATAAAAGTGAGAAAAATGAAATGTCATAAGGACTAGGATTTTCTTAGGGATAACTGGTTCATTCTTGATGTCATTAAGATTTTTTAAAAGTCAGGACAGGGGCCTCCCTGGTGGTCCAGTGGTTAAGAATCCACCTTGCAATTCAGGGAACACCGGTTCAATCCCTGGTCCGGGAAGATGCCACATGCCACGGAACATCTAAGTCCAAGCACCGAAACTACTGAAGCCCACATGCCTAGAGTCTGTGCTCTGCATCAAGAGAAGCCACTGCAGTGAGAAGCCCGCTCATCGCAGCTAGAGAAAGCCCATGTGCAGTAACAAAGACACAGCCAAAAATAAATAATATTAAAATAAATATTAAAAAAACAATCAGGACAGAAGAGGAGGAGGAGGCAGTATACTCAAAATCGTATACATGAATATGGTGCTCTGCCTACACGGGCCCTCAGACACCTACTCCATGTCCTGCTTTACTGAGGCTCCCCTGCCCTGGGCTTCCCAGAGGGTACTAGCGGTAAAGAACCTGCCTGCCAATGCAGAAGACATGAGAGACGAGGGTTCGATTCCTGGGTCGGGAAGATCCCCTGGAGGAGGAAGTGGCTGCCCACTGCAGTATTCTTGCCTGGAGAATCCCATGGACAGAGGAGCCTGGCGGGCTACAGTCCATGAGGTTGCACAGAATTGGACACGACTGAGCAACTTAGCACGCAAGCACACACACGCAGCACACCCTGCCCCGACTAAGCAGCTAGGAAATCGACGGCGCTCTTTGTGTACGAAACTCACACTTCGCTCAGCTTCCCTCTCCTTCCCCAAGGCAACACCATCTGTGGCTCTTTCAAGAAATCACTCTACAGCTGACTGACCAGGCCAAGCGAGAAAAGGCAGCCCAGCGGGGGACCAGCGGGCATCCGTGCCGTACCATGATTGAGATGTCTGATGCAGTCGCTCAGAAGCGCGCTGAACTTCTTCCGGTCCGCGGCCTCCCGGAAGCAGAAGTAGCCGTGTCTGAGGAAGGGCTGCCACAGGTACACCGGGAAGTCCTTGGGCAGGACCACAAAGGGCTGCGTGTTCTCCTTCTCACTGGACGCTGAAGAAACATGGAAGACACCGAGATATTTTTTAATGTGCATGTCTTATTTAAAATTCCTATTTCAGGCTGTGAGAGTTTACTTCAGGCTGTGGGGCAGCCAGTGGGCTGAAAAGGTGGTATGAAATGTCTTTGCGGGGTGGGGGAAAAGGAGAGTTCAGGCTCCCTTTGCATCCCGCACCAGCTTCACCTGCCTCCCTTGAGCAGGTGGCCTCACCTCCGATCCACAGGGACGGCCAAGGCCGTCAGACACAGTCGAGCTCAGCTTCCTCACCTGGAATGAGCCACAGGTAGAGCTGCGTCTTTCCTCGGCTGCCACTGTGTCCGCCTGTTGGACACTCACCCTACCAGCTCCTGATTCACCAGGTCTGCGCTCTGCTCTCCACTCTCTTCCCGCCCCCCCCCCCCCCACCCCCGTCACTCCCAAACCAGCATTTGCAGCCTTGATGCCATCAACCCCTATTCTCACCCTAGACTTGTTCCTTCTTCACCAGTCCCCAAACCATACAGCCTGGGTCACTAATGTCATCCTGACTGCTGGCTTACAGCTTCTTTTTTATTACCCACCTTTTCAACCTGATCAGGAATTATCTGTTGCAGCCAGTTACCCCTTCCTTTGAAAACATTCTCTTCCCTTGACTTCCAGGAGCGTGACCTTCTCCATGCTTTTTAAACATTGCTGCCCCTTTTCACTTTTATTGGTTCCTCTGCCCCTTCTCTCCATCTTTCTCTTTAAGTGTTGGTGTTTGCCCTGTTCTGTGCTGCTTTCTGCCCCACTCTCTTCTCTGCTCTCCCAAGGGAGGTATTGTCATCCTTCCCATGACTTTGCATGTTGCTTCTGCAATTCATGCTTCCTTTTCCTTCCACCATACTTTTTTTTTTTTTTTCCTTCCACCATACTTTTGCATAGAAAAGTCTCATTTATCCTTGGAAACTCAGTTCAAAAGCCACCTCCTCTGGGATGACTTTGTTGGCACCACCCTCTGCCACCGGAGACAGATTAGGGCGCCCCCTACCTTGTCCTCCCAAAATATCATAATGATCTGTGTTTGTGTCTGGTTCCCACACTCAGAGTGAGGGACATAAAGTGAGATAAGCCTCCCCCACCTCCAATTAGGGCTTCCCTGGTGGCTCAGAGGTAAAGAATCTACCTGCCAATGCAGGAGATGCAGGTTTGATCCCTGGGTCAGGAAGATCCCCAGGAGAAGGAAATGGCAATCCACTCCAGTATTCTTGCCTGGAGAATCCCATGGACAGAGGAACCTGGCAGGCTAGAGTCGGACATGACTGAGCGACTAAACAACAACAACCTCCAATTAATTCTCCCAGAAGCAGAACCACTGCCCTGGAGCTCCTTGAGGATGGAGGCTCCATCATACATATCTCTGCATGCTCAACTCAACTCATAGCATACAAACCTAGTAGATGTTGTACTACAGTTTGTTAAATGAATAAATATGCTATGAGGTCCTAGGACATTTTTAAAGCCTTAAACAATAGAACTTTCAGCCCTTTCTTAAAAATCAATTCCAAGAAATTCAAGTTGAGCCATACAATTGCTCAGATCCCCTGTCCAAACTTTATTCTTCTCCGTGCATTCCATTTCTATGATATTGCATTCATTTAAATGAGCCCCAGCTTGTTTCTAGAGTCGTGGAAAACAAGCAGAAGGAAAAATGAATTATGGGCTCCCTGCCCACATAATGGGCACTATCTCAAGGGAAGCAAGTGGAGAGGGACCTACTAAGAGGCAAGTGAAAGCACTGGGCATACCAAGAAATGGATCATAACCATAAGGAAAGCTGAAGAACAGGCTTGCTACTGGCAAGCTGAGACTGGTTTAGATATGGAATAGATTTCCTGGGGCACTCATGGGAGTTCCATTTCTGAACTTAACCAAGTTGTGCATATTGGGAGCACAGTCTTGAGCTCACCAGTCCTAAGCAAAATACCAAGGAATGAATCAACATACGAATGCCAACAAATGAATAAATGATTGAATACTATAGCAGAGACCTCTGGCTGTAACACATTTCTATCCTCTCCTCTTTCTCAGTAATAAAATCCCTGATTTTTACTTTAGCAAGTACCTGCATAGACTAAAGACTACATTTCCAGCCTTCACTGCAGTTTGGTTTGCCAACGCCACTAAGTTTTGGCCAATTACTGTGTAAAGAAGACCTATGTCGATAAACCCTTTAGTGCTTTTTCTCAAGTGAAGTTAATTCCTCCAATCTTTATGGTGCCTTTATTCTTTCCAATAAAATTAGAATCACACAGCAATCAGTTTGTGAAACAACTCTCCTTGCCCTTTCCAAGATGTCACAATATCGTATAAACAACTGAAAGCAACATTCACCCTTTACATTTCAATGCTTTAGCAAGCCCCATAAAATTCATTTCTATTATCCTCTAGTTATAACTCATTTAACTTCTTACAATAATTTTCCAGATGCCATTATTTCCAGTCTGCATTTTTTCTGAGTTGAGTTACAAGGATATCACAAATGATCTCCTATTGAATATTCTATTTTTAAAACTGAGAAGGCCACAACATACAATTTAAAAAGTCACTGAAATACCCAGTCTGAAGTTCTGGGTCAAGCGGCAGTAGTCACCCAGGCCTTGTGGTTTTTATTCCTTTTCATTCCTTCAGATTTGATCTCATCAATAAATCAATAAATATATTATCTGTTCTGACTGATTTCATTGGAAAGTTCTTTGAAGGGGTTCTAAAGAGTTAACATGTTGGTATTCCCATTTCTAGGGGCAGCTCCAGAGCCAAGATAACATGTAAGTAGACATTAAAAGAAAATATAATAATACATATAGTACACATAAAGTGTTGTTTTAGCTTGAATTACTTAGTAAGAGTTTGTTAATCTAGGTTTATGGTTCGTGTACTAATCCTATAACAGTGTTATTAAAAACAGTACACTAAGCATTCTGCACTGAAATAACAATTGATAAAATTATTTTACATTTTCCCCCATAAATTCCAGTGAAATGATTATACCTATTACTAAGAACCAGGACTCTCTTCAAGAAACTAAGTAATTATTGTGTGCTTTGATTTACACAAAGCCAGATGGAGTTATTACATTATCCACAGTTCATGAATCTCTATGAAACACTCTATTTGGTCTGTATATTATCCCTTACACTCTCAGCATGGAAAAAGTAAAATGAATGAGAATGAAAGTATGTTAGAGTTGGTAATAACCTTCTGTATTTTCAATTTCAAGTCCCTAGAGTTGGAAGAAGCAGAATTCAGAGAGGTTCAGCAATGGCTAAGGAAAATGCTTGATAAGCGTCACAGAACCAGATGAAAATCCAGTCTCCATATTCTCAGTTCAGTGCTCTTTCTATAGCAGTATTCAGCTATTATTTATAGATATGCTAATTAACACAATGTCTTTTACACAGTACCTAAGAGTTATTCTAATGCCTAATGCCTACTAAAAGTATTTTGTTGACTTAGGATATTTTATTGCAAATCATCCTAAAATTAGAAAAATAACATTCTCTGACAGGTTTTACTGAAAGATGGGATTGTACATTTCACAGACTGGGCCCAGCATATTTATTTTTGCTGTCCTGTGTAAAGCTTGCAATATATTCCAAAACCTCAAGATATCTGACCAACAGTACATTTTCTATATGCTAGAAACACAGTGACTGACTTGTGTATTACCAAATATGATTTAAAGTAACAGAAGTGGTACAAGGTTTACCTAAATTAGAGAAATTATATCTTCCATTTGCCTATGGAGAATGTGTGTCTAGCCCAGGGTTCCTCAATCTTGGCCTATTGATATTTAATGCCAGATAATTCTTCACTGTCAAAGACAGTTCAGTGCATTGTAGGATATTTAGCAAGAATTACTGGCCTCTATTCATTAAATGTGTATTGCACCATCCTCCCAAGTTGTGATGACCAAAAATATCTCCAGATACAGCCAAATGTCCCTGGAGAGTGAAATCCCCCAACCCCCACCCTTGAGAAGCACTGGTCTAACCAAACAGAACATGTTTAGGAATTTTGTCTTGGGAAGGAATGCTCAGTAACTCACCAATAGGGTCTGGGAAATGCCGATCAGATAATAAATTGTATTCATCTTCTGAGGTTAGCACTTTGCCACCAGCAGGAAGAATTCGGCTTTTGGGGGGAGCTCCTTTCTGATAGGCCTAAGAAAGGAAAGGCAAAAATTAGTGGACTTTTTCCTTATTGGATTTTTGGGAAATATCAGGAATATTAGAAATAGGCAAACCCAAACACCATACACTCAGAGATAGAAATTCCCACATTGAGTAAGAGCCATTTATACAAAAATTATATTTTGCACCAGAAGCCTCTGTCATGGTAAACATCAGGACTTGCTCTAGGACCAAAAAAGAAAGAAAGGCTCTTTTATTTTTCACTGGCTATGTTCTGGCTGTATTGGTTGGGACAGGGAAGGGCACATGACCTCAGCATGTCCAATCAGAGTGAGTGTTAGGGTCAGCAAGAGAGGTTCTTACAGTTTCCACTGGTTATATCCTGGATGCAGCGATTGGGTCAGGAAGGATCACATGACCGATTCAATCCAATCATAGTGAGCTTCAGGACTTGCAAGCGAGGCTGACAGAAAGCCTCGGCTCTGAGAGGAGGTGAGGACAGGACACTGGGCTGCCATCTTGTTACTGTGGAGAAGTCTGAAGGTTTCTGACCATGGAGATTTGGGCCTAGTAAGGAAGCTAGGCTGAATGAAGGCAAAGATTTCAGATGGAAGAAAGAACAAACTGAGTTCCGACATCACTGGAACCGTGAATCCAACCGTACCTGAAGTTGGGCCTGTGCCCAAGGGATTTTAGGTCAGGAGACAACCAACCCCAGCCCTTTTTTCCTTTTTTTTTTTCCTTAATCTTAAAATTTTTTTCCCTTTATTTTTTTAAAACTGAAGTATAGTTGATTTCATGGATCACAGCCTTGTCATGGCAAAGAGGCTTGCATAACTCAATAAAGCTAAGAGCCATGCCATGCAAGGCCACCCAAGATGAACAAGTCATGGTGGAGAGTTCTAACAAGATGTGGTTCACTGGAGAAGGAATGGCAAACCGCTCCATATTCTTGCCATGAGAACCCTCTCAATAGTATGAAAAGGCAAAAAAACATGACACCAGAAGATGAAGCTCCAGGTCAGAAGGTGTCCAATATGCTACTGGAGAAGAGTGGAGAAATAACTCCAGAAAGAATGAAGTGGCTGGGCCAAAGCAGAAAGGACACTCAGTGTTGGATGCATCTGATAGTGAAAGTGAAATCCAACGCTGTAAAGAACAATATGGCATAGGAACCTGGAATGTTAGGTCCATGAATTAAGGTAAATTGGACATGGTCAAGCAGGAGATAGCAAAAGTGAACACTGATATATTAGGAATCAGTGAACTAAAATGGACTGGAATGGGTGAATTTAACTCAGATGACCATTATATCTACTACTATGGGCAAGAATCCCTTAGAAGAAATGGAGTAGCCATTGTATTCAACAAGAGTCCAAAACGCAGTACTTCAGTGCAATCTCAAAAATGACAGAATGATCTCAGTTCGTTTCCAAGGCAAACCATTCAACAGCACAGTAATCCAAGTCTATGCCCCAACCACTAATGCTGGAGAAGATAAATGGTTCTATGAAGACCTACAAACCTTGTAAATAACAAAAAAGATTTCCTTTTCATCATAGGGGATTGGGATGCCAAAAGGGAAGTCAAGAGATACCTGGAATAACAGGCAAGTGTTGCCATGGAGTGCAAAATGAAGCAGTGCAAAGGCTAACAGTTTTGTCAAGAGAACACACTGGTCACAGCAAACACCCTCTTCCAACAACAGAAGAGACAACTCTACACATGGACATCCCCAGACGGTCAACACTGAAATCAGACTGATTATATTCTTTGCAGCTGGAGATGGAGAAGCTCTATACAGTCAGCAAAAACAAGACCTGGAGCTGACTGTGGCTCAGGTCATAAACTCCTTACTGCAAAATTCAGGGTTAAATTGAAGAAACTAGGGAAAACCACTAGACCATTCAGGTATGACCTAAATCAAATCCTTTATGATCATACAGTGGAAGTGACAAATCGATTCAAGGGATTAAATCTGGCAGACAGAGTGCCTGAAGAACTATAGAGGTTCATAACATTGTACAGGAGGCAGCAACTAAAGCCATTCCAAAGAAAGAGAAATGTCTGAAGACAAAATGGTTGTCTGAGGAGGCCTTACAAGTAGCTGAGAAAAGAAGAGAAGTGAAAGGCAAGGGAAAAGGGGAAAAATATACCCAACTGAATGCAGAGTTCCAGAGAATAACAAGGAGAGATAAGAAGGCCTTCTTAAGTGAACAATGCAAAGAAATAGATGAAAACAATAGAATGGGAAAGACTAGAGATCTTGTCAAGAAAACTGGAGATAGTAAGGGAGAATTTCAAGCAAGGATGGACACGATAAAGGACAGAAATGGCAAGGACCTAACAGAAGCAGAAGATATTAAGAAGCAGTGGCAGGAATACACAGAAGAACTACACAATAACAATCTTAATGACCCGGATAAGCATGACGGTGTGGTCACTCACCTAGAGCCAGACATCCTGGAGTTCGAAGTAACGTGGGCCTTAAGAAGCATTACTAATAACAAAGCTAGTGGAGGTGATGGAATTCCAGCTGAGCTATTTTAACTCCTAAAAGATGATGCTGTTAAAGTGCTGCACTCAGTATGTCAGCAAATATGGGAAACTCAGCAGTGGACACAGGACTGGAAAAGGATAGATTTCATTCCAACCCCAAAGAAAGGCAATGCCAAAGAATATTCAAATTACTACACAATTGTGCTCATTTCACAAGCTAGTAAGATTATGCTCAAAATCCTTCAAGTTCGGCTTCAGCAGTACATGGACTGAGAACTTCCAGATTTACAAGTTGGGTTTTAAAAAGGCAGAGGAACCAGAGATCAAATTGCTAACATTCATTGGATAATAAAAAAATCAAAAAAATTCCAGAAAAATATCTACTTCTGCTTCATTGACTATGCTAAAGCCTTTGGTTGTATGGGTCACAACAAACTGGAAAATTCTTCAAGAGATGGGAATACCAGACCACCTGACCTGCTTCCTGAGAAATCTGTATACAGGTCAAGAAGCAACACTTAGAACCAGACATGGAACAATGGACTGGTTCCAAATTGGGAAAGGAATACAAGAAGGTTGCATATTGTCACCCTGCTTATTTAACTTATACCCAGAGTACACCCTGCAAAATGCCAAGCTGGATGAAGCACAAGCTGGAATCAAGATTGCCGGGAGAAATATCAATAACCTCAGATATGCAGATGATACCACTCTATGGCAGAAAGTGAAGAGGAACTAAAGAGCCTTTTGATGAAAGTGAAAGAAAAGAGTGAAAAAGTGGGTTTGAAACTCAACATTCAAAAAACTTAGATCATGGCATCTGGTCTCATCACTTCATGGCAAATATTAATAAAAGGGGGGAAGTGGAAGCACTGACTGATTTTATTTTCTTGAGCTTCAAGATCACTGCAGACTGTGACTGCAACCATGAAATTCAAAGACACTTGCTCCTTCGAAGGAAAGGTATGACAAATCTAGACAGCATATTAAAAAGCAGAGACACCACTTTGTTGACAAAGGTCTGCATAGTCAAAGCTATGGTTTTTCCAGTAGTAATGCACAGATGTGAGAGTTGGATCATAAATAAGGCTGAACACTGAAGAATTCATACTTTCAAATTATGGTGCTGGAGAAGACTCTTGAGAGTCCCTTGAACTGCAAGCAGATAAAACCAGTCAATCCTAAAGGAAATTAACCCTGAATATTCACTGGAAGGACTGATACTGAAGCTGTAGCTCCAATACCTTGGCCATCTGATACTAAGAGCCAACTCATTGGAAAAGACATTGATGCTGTGAAAGATTGAGGCAAAATAAGGGGGCGGCAGAGGATGAGATGGTTAGATAGTATCACCGACTCAGTGTACACGAATATGAGACAACTGTGGGAGACAGTAGAGAATAGAGGAGCCTGGTGTGCTACAGTCCGTGGGGTCACAAAGAGTTGAAGAGACCGTCTTTTCTCCATTGTATATTCTTTCCTCCTTTGTTGAAGATTAATTGATTGCAGTGTGTGGGTTTATTTCTGGGCTCTCTATTCTATTCCATTGATCCATATGTCTGTTTTTGTGCAATAACATGCTGTTTTGATTAATGTAGCTTTTTTTTTTTTTTTTTGCAAAATCATATGACCAGCTCTAGACTAAAGCAATTGCTTCAGTCAGGGTAGAACTTTACTTGACCTGACATGGGTCATGGTGCCTCCCGGAGCTAAGATGAAAAAAATGTTCACGTACTTGCTACTTGTGGGTGTTTCAGTACTTTTGTGTAATGGTCACAAGATGATAAATCAGAGTCTCTAATCTCAGGAAGACTCACTGTAGACACGTCTCTCAAAGGAGAGAAACGTAATCTCAGTAACTTCTAGAAATTCCGCACTACACTTATCATTTCAGATGCTAGCACCTGAATCATTCTAATAACCACAAAAATGATGACACATACAGATATTTACAGCACAAAATACTTGGAGACTGATGACTAATGAGACTGTGGGACATGCAAGTGCAATTATGGCTGCTAAGGATTTTTACCAAAAGCATAAAAATGTAACAATGATAAAATATGCCACCACTTGCCCTCATACCTGAGGCTGTTTTTCAGTAAAATGGTCTAGGATGGAATTATAATATCATGACATCTGAAGAATTCTGGTCAGCAGACAAAATGCTCTGCTGTTTGGGAAACATAACAGGATTGCAAAGCATCATAAAAGCAGTGAAGCAGTTGGTTAAACAGATATACTCATGCAGACATACAGATAAGATAAAATGTAAGTATGTGCTCTGATGGGAGGGCATAAGTCAAGGGAAAATTGTGAGACTAACAAGCTACAAGCAAGCTGAGAAGTGAAACCATAAAACTGTGGGACCTAAAGTCTGGCATGGTGGTTCTCTTGGGAATACCTAAAATAATGTTGATAAGGGCCACAAAATCAGAGTAGCAATAACATATTCTGCATCAATAAGATAGTGATTGAAGAAACCCAAACAAAACAAACTGCTGTAGGTCTAAGAAGGCTGTTTTCATTCTTGTAAGAACCACTAATCAACTGCTCAAGCATATCAGGACCCATAGCAAAAGAGAGAAGAATTGAAAACGGTGTGATCTTGAGAAAGTTTAGGAACAGTTTGATTCAGACTGGCCTCAAATCTGAACTGTGTCATCTAATCTATGTTTTTAAAAACACTATCTGTTATATTATTTAATGCTCAAAACAGCATTGTGAATTAGACATTATCTCCATTTTATCAATGAGAAAAGTGAAACTCAAAGAGGTTAAATAACTTGTCAATGACCCAGTGGTGAGAAGGTGACGAATCCAGCCTCAGGAAGCAGGAACTGAGAATGAAAATAAGAATGTTCTTTTTTTTTCCTGCTCAATTACTAGCCAAAACTGGATTCTTCATAAAAGAATTGGTAATTTATAGATATTTAATTTATAACTTTTAGGTATAAGTTGGTTTTTTTTTTTCTTTTGGGCTGTACTGTGTGACATACAGGATCTTAGTTCCCTGAACAGGGATTGAACCCGTGGCCCTTGCAGTCCTACAGTGGAAGCCTGGAGTCCTAACCACTGGACCGCTCAGGAATTCCATCCTAGGTGTAATTAAAAAAAAATCCTTTTGTAATTAATAAACAGGATATCATTAAAACTTTGAGGAACAATGGCACACTGCATGGGCATTTTTTTCCAAGTTAAAAAAAAAAAATTGGTTATTACCAAGCTCAGTGACCATATCTTAGCAACCAGAACAAGTTTACTTGAAAATGATGAGCAAAGCAAAAAAAGCAATATAGTTCATAAATTGTAAGCTAAGGGAGCAAGTTTTAACCTTAAAATGAAAAGGGGAAAAAAACCAAAATTTGATTCAAAATGAAACTTCAGTTAGTGCCAAATGTGATGAAAACCTTAATAAACACAAGAGTGAGTTCATGAGTGTTTCCTCCACATCAGTTAGTTGTCATACCAACAACTGCTCTATATTGGGCTCTGCTAGCGCTTGGCCATATGCTAAGGGCTTCAGTGCATTCATGTGTTTAATCCTCACAACAACATTGTGATGAAAGAATCATTTTACAGATGAGAAAACTAAGGTTCATGGAGATTAATAACTTATGCAAGGACACATATATCTAGAAACTGGTAAAGGTGTGGTTCAAAGTGCAAAATATTAACCATTATGCTCCACTGCCTCTTCTTAAGCTTCCCTGAGAGGATGATGTAGTGGGACACATGAAGTATAGAGTGATTTGTTGTAATTATCATTATTATTTGCACTGTGTTGACCATTTGCTTCAAAGAGCAAATCAAACGTTGAATAATCCTAAAATAGAGAAAGCAGAGAAGCTATTAGCTTAATGAAGATTTGAAAGAATAAGACTACCCAAGAAATCGGTATGAGTATGCCTGGGAAGTGGTATAATAAGTTTGCATTCTATGTTATTTCTGTTTTCCATCAGAAATGGGAAGGAAACATATTGTCAGCCTGAAGCCTCTTTCTAACGGTTTAGCATCAGAGGTGATTACTCAGAGTATCTGTGGAGGATGTCTTGACTAGTTTTGAACTTAGAGTCAAGAGAGTAGAGTTTTAAATTGGTTACGACATTTAATCCATAAATAGTCACTATTCATTTCAAAGGGAACTTGAGAATCTATTGACTGATTCTCTGAAAATGTGTACTGTATGAGATCTAGAAGGAATCAGTGGGATCATTCAGCCTCACACTCTTAGTTTAATGGAGGCCAGAGCTAAACTTTAGTTTTCCAAATTCTCTGCCCAATGTTCTTTCATCTATACCACATTACCACCCTTGATGGGGAAAGACATGGGAGCCAATAAAATCTGAGGTCCTCTCAGGTGCTAGGCACTTTACATATGTTACCTCACTTTCTCCACATTTTACAAACAAGGAAAAGAATGAGATAAGCAGAAAAAAGCTAATGGAAAAAAATCCACAAGTATAAATGGAATAAAGTATGTGAAATGTTCTGAATTTTTAGGAACCCATGCAAATCCAAACACAATCTTAATAGGTAATTCTTCAGCGACACAGGAGGCTTAAGACTGGGAAGACGCAGAGACACCGAGCAGAGAGGGAGAGCTGCGGGAGGTGACTGGGACAGGCCTCGAGGCCCCATGATATAGGGACAGGTTCCTGCACTGGTCACTCAGTAGGACCTTCCATGTTCACACTCACTTGTAATTACTTGTTCAAAGTCTATCTCGCCCATTTGTTCAAAGTCTATCTCTGCAAGCATCTGTGTGCCCTACAGTGATGTGCCTGGAACCTACTATAAGCCACAGTAAGGGTCTGTTGACGGAAATGAATACCTGAATCCGTTAGCGCTCATTGAATCAGTCAGTCTCAAAGAACAGGGCATGCCAATCAACCCAGACAACATTTAAGAGTGCAGCAAGAACCAGCAGTAACAAGGAAATGTCTTACCTCTTTGTTCTCATAGCTTTCCACAGCAAAGTCATTTTTAACCACAACGTATCTCTCTCTCCATTTCTTTATGTCCTCAGCAAACTGTGACAGTTCTCCTTCATACAAAACAGTTCCCGGCTCCAGTGGGGGCTTAAAGAAGATGAATACAATTAACCATGACAACAAAAGATGGCATATCATGCTATCACTGCCTATTCCTGGTATTTCAGAGAATATTTCTGGAAGCTATCTTGTGCTGAGATCCTCGGGAAATTGTTGTTTTCCCCTCTTCCCTCCACATTTCCCATTCCTACTTCTCTCCCTGACCAAATGCAAATATTTCTCTTATTGATAACTTTGTAATCTGCATTCCCTCCATTATCCTCCAAGAACAGAAGCATATGGTAGAAGGGATTACAGTAGTAAGGCTATGCCTTGCGTACATGTGGTACTTAATAAATTCTTCATACACTCTGTGGAAGAGAGGGAGAGAGGTGGTTAGCTGTCAGTTGTGAACATCTATCCCAGCATCCTGAATATGCCTCAGGGTTAATTCCTGAAAAAACAGGGGAGTTCACAGGCTGTTCCCCTATTTGTCAACCTTCAGTGGCTGCCTCAATAGTCAGTGCTCAGTGGTTTTCCCAAACGCAAAGCTCTGGGGACCCGGGCTATAAAACTTAACCTACCTCCAAGCTCCTCAAAGAGATCATACTTGCTCTCTGGTTAAAGAACAAGCAGGCAAGCCAGCAAACCATTCTACCTCTTCAATTTAAAGGTTTGTGGATTTCTCATTAATAATGCTGGTGAAATATATGCTTTAGGGAAGTCCCTGTTAGGTTCCTAGACAGGTCTCTATTGGGCTAACTGTGTAAGGGATAATTCTCATCCTGCCTCATGTATTATCTCAAAATATAGGAATGGGCCTCTTGTCTTTCATGTGTCACTGACTTTACAATTCTGTTATTCATAAACTATAGTGCCTCTCTTTCTGACTTGCTTCACTCTGTAAAACAGGCTCTGGGTACACCCACCTCACTAGAACTGGTTCAAATTCATTCTTCATGGAATCTAGAAAGATTGATGAACCTATTTTCAGGGAAGGAATGGAGACACAGATGTAGAGAATGGACTTGTGGACGCAGTGGGGGAGGGAGACAGCGGGAGAAACGGGGAAAGTAGCATCGACATATGATCTTCCCGACCCAGGGATCCACCAGGTCGCCTGCATTGAAGGCAGATTCTTTACCATATGAGCCAGCAGGGAGCCCCATAAAACAGAGAGCTGGTGAGAAGTTGCCGTATAACACAGGGAGCTCAAACTGGTGCTCTGTGATGACTTAGAGAGGTGGGGTGAGGGGACGGGGAGGAGGTGCTAGAGGAAGGGGATATATGTGTAATTATGGCTGATTCACGTTGTTGTAAGGCAGCAACCAAAACAACATTGTAAAGCAATTTTCCTCCAATTAAAACATGAATTAAAAAGAAAAAACTAGAGTGCCTTTAACACAATATTGTAAGCCAACTATATCTTAATGAAAGAAAATCATAGTCCCTTTAGAAATGTCTCTCCACTTTCAAGCAAAACTTACATGAAGCATACAGAGAAGATAGATGTGCTCATTGTTTTAAAAATCCACTCAGGGATGGAATTTCTAAGGTAAATTTCAGGGTATTGAGACAGATGATGAGGCACTCTCCTACCTGGACTCCTTAACATGTACAAGAGGCCCTCACTCTCCTCTTTAAATGAGACCGAAATCATATATAAGCGTAACTTTATCATTGTTACACACAGCACTTCTTAAAACTGGGCCACTTAAATCAACTGATATGCTTGTTAAAAATACGGGCTCACCCTAGATTTATTATGTAAGAATCTCTGGGGATGTGGACCAGAATTTTCACTTTTATCAAACTCTCTAAATTTTTTCAATAACTATTTTATGAGGATGACAATCAGTTATCTCTGCAAACCCATGCCACTAAACCTGTTGGTCACCTAGCAGCGTACTGGACCCATTTATCATTCACCCTTTCTTGAAATCCCTTCTTTATTTGTCTCAGGCACATTGCACTTCCCTGGTTTTTTTTTTTTCCTACTCCATAGGCTATTTTTTTTTTTCAGTCCATCTTGCTGGAATCTTCTCCTTTTTCTGATCTCCAAATATTGAAGGGGCCAGGACTTGGTCATGGAACTTCTCCTTTTCTGTTTACACTCTCCCTTGATCAATACCAGTTAGGAGCTAAGAAATCCCAAATGCCTCAACCTCTCCACTGAGCTCCAAGTCAGAGCATTTAACTATCTATTTCAATATTTCCACAGGTGCATGTCAAATAAGTCTTTTAAACATAACATGAACAGAAGTGCACTTAGGATCCCATTCACCTCTGACTCTCCTGAGGAAAACACAAATCCTTCTGCTTATTTGCTCAGGCTGAAAGCTGTCATCACTGATTCTCTCTTCTTCTGTTCTCTCATATCCAACCCATCTGCAAGTTCAGTCAGCTTGGATGTGGAGTCTTCTCCCAACTGCCTCCACCACCACCCTAGTCCAATTTGCCATCATCCTTCTCTTGGACTGCTACAGTCTTTCTTGCCAGTTTCCAGTTCCCTCTCATGTCCCTCCCTGTAGCCTATTCTCTACAGAAAGCCCAGAGAGATCACTTAAAATTATGTCACTCTGTATTCCATACCCTCCAATAGCTTCCCATCACACTTAAAATAAAAACCCTCATTGCAGTCTATGGTCCTATATGATCCGGCTTCTATTAGTCACTCTATTCCTTTTACAACTCCCTCCCTTGTTCACAAGGCTCTCACACATCAGCCTTCCTGCTGCACTTTTTTTTTTTTCATTTATTTTTATTAGTTGGAGGCTAATTACTTTACATCATTGCTGTGGTTTTTGTCATACATTGAAATGAATTAGCCATGGATTTCCTGCTGCACTTTTAACTGCTGCAAAATCTTTGCAAATACTCACACAGCCTATTCTTTTATTTCACTCTAGTTTCTGCTCAAATATCATCTCCAAAAAAGGCTTCTCTGAAATATTTATGACTCCAATTTTATTTTACTTGATAGCATTTCTCATTACATGATATCACCTGATATTCATTTATTTATTTATTGTCTTCTATTTGAATATTAACAGGAAAGCAGAAAATTTGTCTTGTTCTCTAGTACTTAGAATAGGGCCTGGCGAACAAGCATGCATGCTAAGTTGCTTCAGTCATGTCTGACTCTTTCCAACCTTATGGACTGTAGCCCACCAGGCTCTTCTGTCCATGAGATTCTCCAGGCAAGAATACTGAAGTGGGCTGCCATGCCCTCCTCCGGGGCATCTTCCCAAACCCATGTCTCTTGTCTCCTGCATTGGCAGGCAGGTTCTTTACCACTAGTGCCACCTGGGAAGCCCCAGGGCCTGGCACATTGTATTAATAAATATTTGTTTAGGCTGTGGATAATTATTATAATGGAGCAAAGGAGAAAGAATAAACTATAGTTTAGAAGATAAAATCACATTTGATCAATGACCAAATTTAAAATGCCAAAAGTATCAGGCACTGAAATTATGATTTTTTTTGTACTGAACTTCATCAGAGCAAGTCAGATTTCCTGACCTCAAAGCATCAGTGTGGAAAAAGATAATAAAGTTGGAAATCATGCTTGTTTTCTTTTTATATGGATTGCACCATCAACAAGAAATCATATGTTCTAACTTCCGGGCAAATAGCTTTTTGAGCATGATTTGAGAACAGATTTTTTTAAACTGTCACACAAATTATTGCTTTTTTCAGAAATATTATGAGTTATAAACCATTCTTAGTGGGAGAAATATGGAAACCAAACGTCCATGGGTTACCTTGGTCTTCAAAAATTGTGATGTTAAATCTCTTTGCTCTTCTACTTCACTGCGCACATGATTGCAGAAAGCCACAGAGTACTGGCGACTGTAGTAGGGACTGAAGTTTTTGATGGCTGCCTCCGTTTTCCCTGAAAAAACATGAAAATCAGAATTTAGAAATGCATCATCTGTCACAGAATAGACACATATCTCCATAATTCTATAAATACCCCCTCAAGGTTCCCCACACCTCTGCTTTCTAGGGATTTGTTATTTTCCCACAGTTCCTGAGAACTTTGATACCTTTATGGATTCCCCCCCTTCTGGCATCACCCTGAGCGACTTCAAGGTCCCCAAGGGCCATCTATCCAGTTACCAACTTGCTCCACTTTACATCAAAAGCCCATTGTGGTGACCATAAACTCAACCATCCTCCCAGTTCTTCTACAACCACATTCGACCTCACCCTGTTCTCCACGTCACCTTGCTCTTCATTATCCCCTACCGCCAGTCATTCAACTCCTCCTACACAGTAATGCCACAGTCCCAGGCTCCACCATTTCAGCTCTGCACACACATCACTCCATTTTTTTTTTTTTCAGATCCTGAGGCTCCACTTCTAGTCCTGCTGATCCACAGCCCTGGATAAAATCAACAAGCTGTTTCTTCTAGCTTTGCTCCCATGTCTCTAGTCTAAAAGTTTTTTGTGCTTCAAAGAATTATATAATTACCATGGGGAAACTTTTGGCTTAGGAGTCTTGAGACCTGAATTCTGGTCCCAATTCTAGAAGACAGAGAAGTGAACCAGCCGTATGACCTTGGGTGTCACTCCTTCTCTCTGGGCTCCAGCATCCTAACTATAAAAGAAGGTGCTCACTAGTCCACACTTCTCTTGGAATCTACGTGCCAGTGAAATATAACCATGGAAGTACAGCTGCCTGACAACCAAGACTGATAACTACAATATGATCTCTCAGCACCAGAAGAAAATAAAGCTGAAGATTAATCATGTGGGGGAGTGGGGAGGTTGAGGACTGGAGATGGAGGGAGAGGGAGAGTTAGGCACTGGAATGCTCTTGAGCTTTTCCAACCTGGGCAACCAAACTGCAGGAAAGGAGAAGGAAAAATAGGGGAGGAAGGCCAAAGAAGCAGTCTGAAGCAGATGAGAAATCCTCACAACCTTTCAAGGACTTACCACTGAGAATAGAAATAAATACAGTTCCCACTGACTGTGCTTACCAGCTGTTAGTCCTTGGAATGAAATGTTAGTTTGAAAAAAGTAAATCTGATATAATATTCCAAAATATTTATAAATGCTCTCATGTGAACCTGGCATAATTTTTGTTTTCAAATTGGATATTATAGTCAACAGAGAAATATTAAAACATAAAGGTAAAATTTGTTTAGAGCTATTATGCATGTAAAATTTCAAAACTAAGTGAAGGGTTATAACTACATAGATAAAGATACTCAATATGAGAACCATGAATCCATACTTGCCAACGTCTATGCCTATGGAATCACTGCCCCAAACACCCACAAGTGTATGAGTTGTTCAGTCAGTCATGTCCAACTCTGTGACCCCATGATGGCAGCACACTCGGCTTCCCTGTCCTTCACCACCTCCCGGAGCTTGCTCAAACTCATTCTCTCTATATGGAAAGTCCTACTGTGGCCCACGCATTTAGGTCTCATAATATATATGAGGTAAAGGGGAATTCTCACTTATTCCCTCAATAAAATGACATTTTCTGGTTGTATTCATGAGTTTTAATAATTACTACTTGTAAGGTGCTTTGAGACCTACTAATAATAGGTTCTGTAGAAATGCAAATAAAAGCTCCTATAATTTGAATCAGGCATGCTTTTCCTTGCTCTGTGAGTTTATGGTATTACTATTAATCAGTATTTGCATAATACTCTCATATGCTCAGGCTTTTAAGTATCTAATTGGTCATTATTTTATTCGCTTTTATTCAGTACATAAGAAGGAAAATTCTATATACTTGTCTATAATTTCCTTGTATAAGTGTGGGGCATCTTTGAGAATTCCCACAATGAGGATGTCTCACCTCACTGAAACATATAAATGATTAACAAAAGTTGCCCATTAGGTCCAAGTAACCACTGTTTAGTCTAGCAGAAGAAGACTAGTTAATTTCTGATGGTAATTTTTGTACGCTTGCAAGCACTTGGATTTAAATAAAAAGAGATGGATGTCATTTTATGATGAGTTCTACAGAACCTTGAAACCTGATATCCTGCCACATCACCAAACCTCCCTCAAGGATGTTTTGCTTCTACTGAGATGCTACAATGCCTCTACTCTCTTCCAACCTAGGAGAAAAACGATTCTGTGACTTGAATATCTGCATACGGTACAATCCAGACAGCAATGACTATGGAGGGAGTACTCATAAAAAAGGGATCACAAAAAAAAAAAAAAAAAAAGAAGGGATCACAGCTTTCGAGGGTAATTAACCTAATGACTGTTTCCAAATGTGGATAAAACAGCTAAAACATCACAAGTTCTAGGAGGAAAATAACTTAAAAGCTAATCCCAAAATGTATCTAGATTTTAGATTCAGCTGATCTAAACCCAAATAAAAGAATGCCCAGTATAGGGATCTTGACAATTTGAGAAAAGCCTAGAGTTGGGGCAAAATAACACTGTAGTTGAGGATGGATTCTGGAGTTAGATAAGGGATGAATCGCATCTCTGCTACTTACTAGTAGTAAGACTTCACACCAGTTTCTTCCTCTCATATAAAATGAAGCCAGTAAGAGTAGCATCCTCATGAATTAAGGTGTTATATTACTCAACCATTAAACATGAAATATTGACATTTGTAAGAATGTGTCTGGAGCTAGAGAATATTATGCTTAGTGAAATGTCAGGCTGACAAATACTATATGATACCACTTCTTGTGGAATCTAAAAAGTAACACAAATGAATGTATATGCAAAACAGAAATAGAAATATAAAATACAAGCTTGTGGTTGTCAAAGTGGAAAGAGAAAGGGAAATGACAAATTAGGGGTATGGAATTAATAGATACAAATCACTATATGTAAAATAGATAAGCAACAAGGATATACTGTATAGCAGAGTGAATTATATCCATTATCTTATAATAACCTATAGTGGAATATAATCTGAAAAAAATACTGAATCACTTCACTGCACATCTGAAATTAATACAACATTGTAAATCAACTATACTTGGATTTAAAAACAAGAGTAACAATCTCACAGTGTGGTCGTAATTACATGAAATAACACAGTAAAGTGCTCAGCACTGCATTTGGCACATAGAAAGTGCTCAGTAATCCCTAATAATTAAATTGATGGTGAAGAACTCAAGCCAACCACCCAGGGAAGGTCCTTAAGCTGAACTAAGGAATGAAGAAGTCAAAAGCAAGTTGTCTACTGTAACTCTTTAACTAGGACCTGCCCTGTTGCTTACAAAAACCACTATCCTACTCACTGAAAATTCAGGACAAACATAACCTACATTTTCACAGATGTTTCAGGAATGCTTACCAGCATGTAAGAGGCTCTCAGTGCAACATGAATTAAAACCAACTAAATCAAACATTAGCCTTAATGAGCCAAAGTGAAAAGGCAAGTTAGTATATGTATTACATTGCGTTCCCCACTCTGAGCCTAAATTTTTAAAATTGAAATATAGTTTATTTACAATGCTAATTATTTCTGTACAGCAAAGTGATTCAGTTATACATATACTGTTGTTGGGCTGTTCAGTCACTAAGTCACATCCAACGTTTTGTGACCTCATGGACTGTAGCATGCCAGGCTTCCCAGTTCTTCACTATCTTCCGGACTTTGCTCAAATTCATGTCCATTGAGTCACTAATGCTATCTAGCCATCTCATCCTCTGCCACCTTCTTCACCTTTTGCCTTCGATCTTTCCCAGCATCAGGGTCTTTTCCAATGAATTGGCTCTTGACATCAGGTGGCCACAGTATTGGAGCTTCAACTCCATCACCAGTCCTTTCAGTGAATGTTCAGGACTGATTTCACTTAGGATGGACCAGTGTGATCTCCTTCCGGTCCAAGGGACTCTCAAGAGTCCTCTCCAGCACCACAACTGGAAAGCATCAATTCTTCAGTGCTCAGCCTTCTTTATGTCCAACTCTCACTTCTGTACATGACTACTGGAAAAACCATAGCTTTGACTATATGGGCCTTTGTCAGCAAAGTGATGTCTTTGTTTTTTAATATACTGTCTAGGTTTGTCGTAGCTTTCCTTCCAAGGAACATCTTTTAATTTCATGGCTACATACATTCTTTTTAATATTCTTTTCCATTATGGTTTATCATAGGATATTGAACATAGTTCTCTGTGCTATAGAGTAGGACCTTACAGCTTATTCATTCTATATATAAAAGCCTACATCTATTAACCCAGATCTTCCACTCCATCTCTTTCCCAACCACCTTCCCCTTGGCAACCACCAATCAGTGCTCTATGTCTGTGATTCTGCTTCTGTTTCATAAATAGGTTCACTTGTCTTAGTTTAGATTTCACATATAAGTGATATTATATGTTATTTGTCTTCCTCTTTCTGATTTATTTCACCTAGCATGATAATCTATAGGTCCATCCATTTTGCAGCAAATGACATTATTTCGTTCTTTTTAATGGCTGAGTAATACTCCATTGTATAGCCATACTGTATTTTTATCCATTCATCTGTCTCCGTGTCTTGGCTACTGTGAATAGTGCTGCTATGAACACAGCAGTGCATATCTCTTTTTGAACTATAATTTTGCCTGGATATATGCCAGGAGTCGGATTGCTGGATCATATGGTAATTCTATTTTAGTTTTCTGAGGCACTTCCACACTATTTTCCACAGTGGCTACACTAACTTACATTCCCACCAACAGTAAATAGGAGGGTTCTCTTTTTCTCCACATCCTCTCAAGCATTTGTTATTTGTAGACTGTTTAACAATGGTCATTCTGACTGGTGTGAGGTGGCACCTCTTTGTAGTTTTGATTTGCATTTCTCTAATAATTAGAGAAATGTTGAGTATCTTTATGTGCCTATTGGCCATCTGTATGTCTTCTTTAGAGAAATGCTTATTTAGGTCCTCTGCCCATTTTGGGGTAGGGCTGT